CCTTACCCTACTCCCACCCTCCCGTTCTTCACTCCCGCTTCGCTGGCCTTCCGTACATTACTGTGTTGTGTTAAACGTTACTTCTGAGAATTTTAGCACACTAACCACTAAAGATCAGCATTTACGGGCTGCTGCTGCACGTACAAGTATCATACGTAAGTTAGGATCCCTGATACATTACTTGGTCTTAGTTAAGGTTTGCGAGCTTTTCGTCATACAAATAACGGACGGGTCATGTAATAAAGAACTCTTTGCCAGCGCATGTTATTCTGGCTCACCACTGCATTGGTTGTACAAATCAATTCACGCTTTCTACTGTAGGTTGATGAGGACTTGAACAAACTGGAACCAGAGCCGGAAGCCCTTGCGGCAGGTGGGCAGATCCAAGGTTCCAACGCCCGGAACGGTGAAGTTCGCCGGGCGCGAGCAAGACGCCATTACTAGAAGGCGACTGCGGCGGGCCTGCACGTTCTCCTCCAGCCACGGGCCCTTTAGTGCAGCAAAACAAAGGGCGAAGGAATAAGAAACACGTGCGAACTGTAGTGCTGCTTACCGCGAAAGGAGCTGCGTGTGCAGTCGTGTGCTCTTATTTCGGACATATCACGTAGAAATGCTCAATTTAACATATCTCGGAGTCATATTCGAAATCCGAAAAAGGCATAATAAATACAAGACTCACACACCCTTTTGGGTAATGGTGCCATTTCTCGTGTAACGCCTACAAGGCTCTGAAAATATAGACTGCGAAACTGAAATCGCGTCATGACATAAGCCTGGGGCTCGTGCACTTTAGAGCTGCCCCGGGTCTGACAGGTGCTTCTACGGCTCTTCGGCGACAAAAAAATAACGTTCAAAAGTTTTTCATCACTCAACTGAGTGATTGTGCTTCAATTTCAGACAGTCTGATCATTCATTGTAGTGAAGTAACATTTTATCGCAGACCTCATCAACCCTTAAAGGCAGGCGCGGATTAAGGGGGGGGGGGCGATCGCCCCCCCTGTCGTCTCTAGAGAGCCGCCTGAAAGGTAGGCAATTTGCGCCACAAAACCCCTAGGCAACCGACAGTGCATGCCCCCACTGTCAGCCGGACCTTAATCCGCCACTGCTTAAAGGCCCATTTTTAAATGCCATTGTCAAAATGGAAAATCGCAGATATCACCAAGAAAATGAGACATTTTTCGGGTTTCGAGTGATAGGTTTGGTAGAGGTGGTTTCAGGAAATTGGTTGAAAGCCCTCTCGACGTTCTGAGACCTGTACTGCGCTGAAATAGGCAAATCGTGAAATTGAGCGTTTTCGGATGTGATCCATTTAAAACCCATTGGTCGGATCACTTTCAAAAAAATTACTCCGAGATACCTCAATGCTTACTGAACCTGATTAGGGTCTAAGTCAAAATTGCACTGGAAAGACAAGTGTGTGAATGTCACTCACTTGTAGAGAGAAGTATGTAAGGGTGTTTGGAGACAATGGTGTCAATGGTGTTACACCACTCCGCACTCCGCCACTCGGTGCTCGGCAGTGCATCCAAAAGGGCAGGCTGCTGCGGGCTTCTTTTTTTGGTGCCTATGCTTAAACATGGGAGGAGGAGAAAGTAGCCCGCAACAGCCTGCCCTTTTGGATGCACTGGTGCTCGGTGCTGCCCCTCTGCATGATCCGGCGTACGTTTGGCTGCTTACCCCTCAGGCGCTGGTGCTGGCACTGTCGCTTGGACCTCGTCTCAGCCGCACCGCGCTATGGTGCGCGCCTTTGACACCACTCTAGGTGTACGTTGGTTGCCTACCTTACCGGCGCAAGTTTCGTCGGAGGGGTAGGGGGGATGCTGTGGGGCGACTGCTGCTGCAACAGCGACTGCGGCTGCTGCAGCTGCCGTTACAGAGAGGTCGACTCGGGTCATACACGAGTTTGAATGTTCGAAGGCGGAGACGTCGATTTCGGCTGCTGTTACTGCTTTCTCAAGGTAATTAGTCCTTATTCTCACTTTTCAGCTGTTTTCAAATCTTTACAAGGATAAGATAAAAGAACAATCCACCTTGCTGCCTGGCACTTATTCTCTGAAAGAAATAAAAGCAGTGCATTGCCGTTGGATGATTTGTCGTGAGCTAGAGAGGAGATAGCTACCACCTAACCTGCTTCACTTGAGAATTTGGTGTGTTCTAGATGTCTGGCTTAGTTTTGAACTATACTTTTAAGTATTAATTAATAGATAACTTTTAGCTGTTACATCCATTTCTTTAAATAAACAGTTTGATAGCACATAAAAGAGCTTTCACTGTAAAATTCCAAACTTGTGACTTACGCAACTCTGTCAAATGACAGGTGACTTCTTACATTAAGGTATGACATGATAAGGTTTTCCTTGTCTATGTTGCACATCTGTTGGAAGGTTTCCAATTGAATTTCTCTTGGAGAGGGGTAACACGACATTGAGATTTCTAATTGTTTTCTTTGGTCTCCATAATGAGACCGTAGGGTTTGAGATCTTCAGGCCATTCAATGGTTAATTTTTTGCCCGTTACTTTCTTCTTGATGATAACCGTTCCATTCCTGATATGTGTGGATTCAATTTTACCGGCCTTCTTGAGCTGTCTGGCTTCGTAGTCCAGTCGCTCATTATGTGGTGTTCGATGTTCAGAAATGTATACATTCATGGTTTGTCCATTGTACTGCAAGTCTTCGGTTTTGAGTCCACCTTTTTTGACCTGTTTGATGTAGGGATTAAGTAATTCTTCTTTCTTTCATCGGTTTACGAACTTAATGATAATCTTTTGTTCCCTTGACTTGATAAAGGGTGAGCGGCATCAATATCACGATGATTTAATGATACATTTAGGAAATCTCTTAGGTAACCGCAACATCTAGTGACTTCATGGTGAGTTCCTTTGGAATTCCACTAATGATGAAACTAGGTAGATGTACGCCAGACCACGTCTCGCGTAACAGGCTTTGCGATATCTCACGAAACACTGTTGCGCTGCGACGCGCCTGGCATACATCTACCTAGGCCTGCGGCGCTGACACCCGAGTCGGGTAGTGAAAAATGTACCCAAAGATACGGGCCTCTGGCCCGTCGAAGGCCCGTCACTTTGACTAAGCATGCAGGGTTGTACATTTTTTCGCTTATTTTCGTCAAAAATACCCTCTAGCGCCTTAACGGTTTGAGCTAGAGCAAAACGGAGAAAATTTTCGCCCGAAGGGCTCTACTTTAATGAGTTACCACTTAGGAGACTGTAAAAAAAATATTTTTGAAAAACATAATTTGGGGGACTTGTGGTTTTTGATTTTTTTTAAAATCCAATTTTTGAGCTAGAATGCTCTTCTTCGAACTCGATCTGTCTTTTTATGATACAAAACGACCCTGAAAATCCCAGGTCGCTAGCTTAATTCGTTCTCGAGTTATCGTGATGACAGACAGACAGACAGACGCGAAACTTTTTGATCATCACTGGAGTAATAGGCTTCGCTAATCGCTCAGCCAATTATTCATCCTATTGTATAGCTTCATGTCCTTGATCGCTATCTCCATGTCCTTATTTTTAGTTTTGAGGCTATTTACTTCATATTCTACTTCTTTAAGCCTACCACTGAATTCTTTTATCAGTGAGGTATCTTTGAAAATATTATCAAGCTTAAGCCAGACGGCATTCATTTTGTCCTTAGCTGTAATTTCGGAGAACTTATCTCCTTCGGACACGTGCCGCATACGAAGTTCTTACTGATTTTCGCAATTTCTTCCTTACTTTTCCCTTTCGTGTTAATACACTTCAGGTGACAGCCTTTTTTGCACTTTGTGCATTCTACTGATATTTCTGCTGCCTCAGTAGGATTTTCTTTAAGAATATCTTGGCACCAGCTGCACCGTGGTACCTCCATGTCACCGCCTTGCGTTATGAGCCATGAGGTCGACGCCAGATGTGTGGTTTAGGTACACGTCCGGTCCCGATCTAAAATGAATTGTTTGCTTTTGGGTTGCGGATGAGTCGTCTGAGCATACAGAAAGCGTCTAAGAAAGCGTACAAAAAGCGTTCACTGTTCCTTGTTCGCTTTCAATTCGGTACATATCGCAAAGGGGTCATTTCGCGAGTTCTGACGTACCCAGAGCAAACATTCCTCATGCTGCTCGAAAATGTTTGCCGATGGTCTGGCTCTCGGCGGTCTTTTTTTCCGCTTTTGCTAGGATTCGATCCCGAGACTCTGACTTACTGGCTCGAGTCGCTACGACTGCGGCTAGTGCGCTTGCTGACGACCAACGTGTAAAACCGCACTGTTGTGCTGAGGTGGGTCAAGCGACGAATGCGCGCAAACGCACAGAAGTGAGCGACTCAAAATTAGCTTTTCGCGCACATAGGCGGTCCAATCGCACTCCGGTGGCCAGCTGACGAGTTTCCCGCACTCACGGGTGACCTAGAGCGAACACGTGGCGAACAGAGGCGAATACTGACGACTCTATGGCGTAGTATCCGAGCGAACCTGAGCGAAACGGAGCGAACCTGAGCGAACGTCTTGTGCACGACCGAGCCTATGGCAAATTGGAGCGAACTCAGGCAATCCCTTGGTAAAATATGTGAGCGAACCGTAGCGATCTTGAAGCACCTAGCGCGCGTATAGCAGCGATTCAAAAGCAACTGCTTCGCAACCCAAAAGCGTACAATTCATTTCGGATCAGGGTACAATTTATTGATTTGAAGCCTTTTTACGATGTGATAGACCATTTGGTCATTTTCACCTCATTCCCGTCCAAAAAATGCCCCCTATCACCCATACGGTACACGATAGAGCGAAAAGGACAACGTTTTCGTCCAAAGGGTGTGACACATAAAAAACGCATAATCGAAAACGCATAAAAAATATTTTAAAAAAACATCCTTTTGGGGACCTGTGGTTTTTGATTTTTTTAAAATCCAATTTTTGAGCTAGAATGCTCTTCTTCGAACTTGATCTGTCTTTTTATGACACAAAACGACCCTGAAAATCCCAGGTCGCTAGCTCAATTTGTTCTCGAGTTATCGTGCGCACAGACAAACA